ATTTTGAAACTCACCACCATGGTCACTTCTTAAAACTTTAATTCTTAAGTCTTTCTCATTTTGTATTTGCTTTGCAAACTTTCTAAAGACCTTAAACGCTTCACTTTTCATTGTTAGGAAAAATGTCCAAGTATATCTAGAGTAGTCATCAACAATCAAAAGACCATAATAATTTCCACCAAAGCTTTTTATCCTAGAAGGTCCAAATAAATCTAAATGTAATAATTATAGAGTTTTGAAGTGGAAATAACATTGTTTGATTTAAATGATGATTTTACTTGTTTACCTTTTTGACATGCATCACACAATCTATCTTTTTCAAATTTTAACTTAGGCAAACCAATAACTAAGTCTTTTGAAATCAATTTGTTCAAATGATGCATATTTATATGAGCCACTCTCTTATACCATAACCAAGGGTTCTCTTCCTTAGCAACTAAACATGTTATGCTAGAATCATGTAAACAATCCAAATCAATCAAGTATATGTTGTTATGCCTAATGCCTTTTAATTCTACATTTTCGGAATCTATCAAATGTATGGTGCAAAATTTACTTTCAAACCTTAAATCCTTTGTCACATAGTTGACTTATGCTACGGAGATTATGCTTTAGTCCATCAACAAGAAGCACATCCTTAATCTTCAATGTGTTTGCACCACCTATATTTCCAATTCCAAGAATTTTCTCTTTGTTGTTGTTCCCATAAGTTACATATCCTTGTTCTTTAGCTTTGAAACTCACAAATTTTGATTTATCACCGGTCATATACTTTGAGCATCAACTATCAAGATACCACATAGACTTCTTAGATTTGGAAGTTTCCTACAAAACAAGAATATAGTAAACTTAGGTCCCCATAACTTTTGGGTCCTTGGGGTTAGAGACAAATAAATTATTTAACAATAGGAACCCAAATGTATTTACCTTTAGGAACACCAAAATGGTTAATTTTACATTTATTTGAAGTGTGACCTTGTTTCATACAGTAAAAACATGCTTTAGATGTAGCTTTTGAAAATGATGAATTTCTAACAATGGATGATTTAGTTCCTTTTTCCACCCATACTTTTCTCTTTTTAGTTTTAGGCTTTCTCAAAGAAACTTGATGGTTTACACTATTTTGAGTTACAACAACTTTATCCTTCTTAAAATCACTTATCTCCTTTTCGGCTTTATCTAGCAAATGGTTAAGGATATCTATGTCATATTCATACTCTTTACAAGTTGCACATGCTAAGTTCTTATCATCATTCTCATCTAAACATACAATTTTCGTTTCTAAGGATTCATTTTCCTCTAAACATGTGATTTTCGTTTTTAATGAGTCAACTTCCTTTTCGGATCTACTTAAACTCTTATTCACAACTTTATATTCATTTTTCAAGTTCTTAAAGGCACTAAATAGTTCATTATATGCATTTTGCAGTTCATCATAGTTAATTTCATCATCACTTGAGGATGAGTCGGAATCACTTACCTCAAAGTCGGAAGATATGTTGTCATTTACCATTAAGCAAATATTGGCTTCAACTTCCGAGTCACTTGATTCCGAACTTGAATCACTGTTGTCCCAAGCAATATAGGTTTTCTTCTTGAAGAACTTTTTGCCTTTGATTTCATCGTTTTTCTTGTTTGGACATTCGGTCTTTACATGTCCTGCTTCACCACAACCATAACATTTTATATTTATGGAAGTACTTTCTCTTACCTTTCCCTTACCTTTGAATGGATGCCTTCCTTTTGCTTTCATGAATTTGGTGAACTTCTTTATCATAAGACTTGATTCTTCTTCTTCATTTTCCGAGTCTTCTTCTTCCTTTTTATTTTTACCTTTGGAAATTTCGGTTTTGAAGGCTAAGTTCTTCTTTTGATATTGTCCTTCTTCTTCATTTAGCCTTCCAAGCTCAAGCTCATGCTCTCTTAGCTTTCCAAAGAGCGCCGCCATTGACATAGAGGCAATGTTTTGTGACTCCGAGATTACCGTCACCTTAGGTTGTCATTTCCTATCCAAAGATTTTAAAATTTTAACATTCAATTCATCAACGTCAAAGATTTTACCTAATCCGGTGAGATGGTTCACAATATGAGTGAAATGCTTTTGAACGTCAAATATTGTTTCGCCTTGTTGCATCCAGAACATCTCGTATTCTTAGTTTAGGAAATTATTCCGTGCTCTCTTAACGTCGTTGGTACCTTCGTGGGTCACTTTTAGCATTTCCCACATCTCCTGAGCACTTTTACAAACAGAAATCCTGTAAAACTCGTCAATGGTTAAAGCAGATAAAATTATATTTCTAGCCCTAACGTCAAATTGTGTTTTTCTGTTTTCCTCTGTTGTCCATCTAGAAAAAGGTTTGGGAACGTCAATACCGTTCTCAGTAACTTTAGGAACATATGGACCGTTTAAAATAGCGTCTCAAATGCCTCTATCAACAGACTCTAAAAAGATTTGCATTCTTACTTTCCAGAAAGGATAATTTTGACCCGCAAAAAGTGGGGGGTCTGTTGATAGACGCACCTTCGGCAAAAGTTTGATTTTTTTCGGCCATTTTCGAAAAGTTTGAATGACTATCAAAGCAAGCTCTGATACCACTTGTTAGAATCGCGCAGCGGAATGTTCGCGTGGTCGGATAAAAACCAAGAGGGGGGGTGAATTGGTTTCTTAACAAAAATTAGGTTTTCAAAATTTTTCCCAAATTTTACCGATTAAAAAGTTGTGTAAACGTAAATAAGATAGAGATAGAGTCTTACACAGGAGATTTATACTGATTCGGATCAAAAGACCCTACGTCCAGTTGCTAATCACTCAAACAGAGGATTAACGTTGTCACTATAATCAAAGTTGTTACAAACAGATAACAATTGAAAATACAAAGTAAAGAAAACACCTCTCTTGAAACCCACAAGAGATGAAGAACAGTTTTCCCCAGAGACGGCACAACACACAATCCACTAAGAACTCCACTTAGTGATTCTTATCGCTTTTAGCCCACACCAGGTTCCAAAAGCCCATTTTTCCTCTAACAAACAGTTCTCTGGCACTCACAGCACTTAACTTTTGTTTGAAAAAGGTTGTTCAATTTTTCTAAGTGCCATAGAGAAGCTTAAGTAGAGAAATTAGGGTTTGGGAATTGAGATTTTCGGAACTAAAGAGTATTGGGATTAGGGTTTTCGAAAATAGGGTTGATTTGAAGTTGAAAATCAAAATCTGACTGAAATAATCGATTAAATGAAGTGTTAATCGATTATCACAGAGCCAAAATCAACAGAACCCAAAAACTCTGTTTTAATCGATTAAAAGCTGTGTTAATCGATTAACAGGCCTGTTAGTCGATTAACATGTGTGTTAATCGATTATTACAGTGAACAAATACAGAAAATGGTTTTTCTCACTGTAATAATCGATTATTTGACCATTTAATCGATTAAAGCCGAGACAAACTGATAAATGTGAGTTTTTGAAGCTTCTAAAGTACAGACTATGTACCGGCTATCTTAGACTCTAATATTACAGACTCAAACTAATCAAAACAGAGTTATTATACAATAAAACAAGTCTTCAACTCTCTAAGTCTTGTGTTCTTGAATCACCATCAAAATCAACAAGCTTCATGTCCATGTAAGTTCAACATCAAGTCCTTGAATATTCAACATTTTACTCTTCTTTTGATCACTCTTTTTGTTCTCAAGTGTTTCACTAACACTTTTTTTTCTCTCTTTTCTTGAAAATAAATTTCTCTCATTTTCTTTTTATCCTCCTCTGTCATCAATTTGATGTTCAAACCTTTAAACCGGGGCTCTGAATACCAACTGATATGAATCACGAGGGGGTGATTTAGGATCTTTAGGGTTAGAACCTTGTAAGAAATTTAAGAATTTAGTAATAAGGTGGAAGGAAAGAATCACTCTTTCCAAGGAAGACAACACACAAAGGATGTGAAAGTCCTTTGATACAGCCAAGGGTTCTTGAATCACTCAAGAACTTAGGAGAATCACTCTCACTAAGATAAAAGAGATAAACTCTAATATTTCTAAAAATAAAACTCAACTTGTTATTTCGATAAAAATGGTTCAAACTTATAAAGAAGTTTTGTCATCGAAGTTACAAATATTCATTAAAGGAAAATAAATGCTAATAATGATTTATTAACCTAGGAATTGAAAACTACTTAATGATTGATTGTAACTGAAATTGTGGCATCCAAAAGTCAATAAGTTATGCACCCTCTTGGTCTCCCAAAGACTGATAACTAAATTTTCAATTGGACCCTTATTACAACTTGCAATAAAACTAAACTAAAACTCATTAATTGATTAATCCAAAACACAATTTGGTCAACCAACAATACTTGTTGAAGAACTTCATTTGCTTCTCTTATTCTAGCCCTTATCATAGGTCATGTTCACATCAATTTGTCCACACACACAAATATATATGAAGGAGAAAGAGATGATATTTTTGTTGCTTTCATAAAAATGACTCGTATTCTTTTTTATAAAAGTTAAAATTGAAGAAATTTTAAAGTTTACATTTGATTATTACTAGAAATTTTATGAAATTTATAAAAAAATTTACATGAAATATGAATAATTATAGTAATGGATCTTTGAACATTTAAAGGTTTAATGATTTAAATTTGATATAAAAAAAATGGATGATACCAAAATAAATATCAACCACAGAGTGTGTGAAAGAAAGGTAATAAATAAGAGAAATAATAAATAAAAGCGGGAAAAAATAGCGATATCTTTAATAATAATGTCAGACTTAATTAAAAATAATAATAATGTCAGACTTAATTAAAAATTTAAAAGTACTTAAATCATAATCATAGTAAATGATTAGGGTGAAGCACTAAATGAAAATTATATATTATATTGGTTAAACATATTATGCACGTATGTATCAATTATCATGCATGTTTTAACATATAAAGTTTAACTATAGGTCAAATTGATAATTTTTTACTTTTAAAGTGATTTTTTATTTATTCAAGGTATGGAAATGAGGTTGTTTTCATTGATGACGTGATTGTAATATTCCCAAATCACATTAACAAAAGTTTTTAAGCCCAATCAAATTTTGATACCATTTTTGTTATATCTAAACTATAGGACTAGGATATTTAAAGTGTTTATTTTGTCCAAAATTAGTTGCAGTCAATTGTTTTTTAAAAGGTCACAATTGTAGTGAGCGGATTTTATTTAAAAGCCCAATAATATCCAAATAAGCCTGTCATTATCAAGCAGGCCCATTCTTTGAAAGCTTGGATGTGAATTGTGATGTTCATGCAACAAGAAAAGGTATTAGTCACAAAAATAAAATAAGGTTAATAAATATAAATTATTAATAGGTCAGTTCTTTTATTAAAAAATATATAATTAACAATAATTTTAAATATTCATAAGCATCTCCTTCTTAATTATTAATTTTATATGGTAATTCACGTTAACAGAAACTACTTAATTTACACAGTCATATAAGTAAACTATATAAGCTGGAAAAAAAAAGTAACCTTAATTTTACACACAATTTTTTGTTTCCAACTTAAACATCAAAATCTATAGGTTTCTTATTAGATCTTGACTTGTAGGCAAGTATCAAAGATTCACAACTTTATAGAACATTCCTTACCATATAATTATTGAATAATAGTAAGTATTATTTTAATATATTTTAAAACAAAATATATTTGAAAAACAATGGAGGTAATAACAAATTTTCCTAGTGCTGAAGAGAAAAAAAGATGCAAGGTTGAAGTGATTATTACATAATACTCGTATATGAAATCACCACAGGTGAATGAATATATTGAAAATGTAATATACTAGGTAAAATAAATGTAACTTCGTAAAATGTGAGAGGATATATACTTCTGTACAAGGAGAGTTTCGTCTCTATTTACAGTGATAAAAATATGAATTAAAATAAACTAAATTAGAAAATATATAAGAAAATAAATTATAATTTAGTTAATAAATAAATAATAATATTTCTTATTTCCTAATATCTATCACTTAGTTTGTTATGCAAATTAAGTAAGAAATTAATTGTTATTATTTTTAATAATTTTATTAAACTTACTTTAAAAATGAATACATATTGTGTTTAAAAGCATATATTAAAATATATTATTAAAAAAGGAATATGACGTTATGGATGGGATTCTTAGATTATATTAAAAGAAATTGAACCATCTTTTTGTGAACCTAAATAAGTAGTTTCTTTCTTCTCTTTTGTTGTGGGATATTCCACCATGTTCCTAGAAAGCAAGTTTATCTAAAACCTTTGAATGGTAAAAACCCAAACGATTTCATAATTTCCAAGAATGGTCTTTCCTTGCATAAGTGTACTTCCTAGAAACTTGGTGAAACTCAGGATGATGCAATTGCAAATGAAATCAGGGTAGACAACCTTGTCACGTCACGTGTTCCACGCCACGCAATAGATCAAGCCCACGTGTCCACCTTGCTAAGGGCAAAACCTTAAAATCTACGGTTCAAAAAGCGCCACGCAACCACACACCCACCAAATATTCACATTTCACACCACCCACCCGGATAGAATAATTCCCTTGGTTAATTTACCTAATAAATAATAAAAAAGGAGAAGTACTTCATCATAATCAAAACCTCGTTTTATTTATGTCCTAAAAAGATAAAAGCTGTATTTTATCTTTTTAGGGTTACATCTATCTATTTAGATAATAGACGAAATCCCATTCGTGTTCGGAAAAAATTCCTCTCTCTGAGAGAAGCTCTCGAATTCCTACTGTCTCTCGTAGAATTTTAATGGCTTGTACATCATCCGATTCAAAACCAGTGACGTTGCTGTTGTTCTATTCTTTCCTAATTCCGATACCTTTCGATTCTGTTTCCGCTCTACGCATACTCGATACTTGTTCATCTCTTTCTTTCTCGAATTCCGATTCGTTGTTGTAACACACATACCTAGTTACCGAACTAACAAACCAAAGAAACCCGTTGCCATGGGAAAGCGTAAGCTCCTCAATTCCTAGGGTTTCTGCAATTTCCGATCCGACTCAATTGAATTTTCTATTTGTTCAATTAATTAACTAATTATTTGTTTTTTGTGCTCTGTTTAGGTAATTCTCAACGTAAAAGTGCTGCGATGTTCGACAGCGATGACGACAGTAGCGTGACCTCGTCGTCAACGGCTCGCTCAGATTTCATGTCGGTGTCTGGAGGTGAAGATGTGCAGTTTGTTCAAGATTCCTTGCTCGACCAGGCACTCGATGCATTAGATGAGAAAAGGTACTTTGCTTGACTTCATTAAATTAAATTTACATGGTGGATGGAGTTGAAGAATTTTTTAACATGTTTTTGTTGATTTATCAAGGGGTTCCACGAGGGAGAAAGCTTTGACATCGATCATTGACGCTTTCAATAACAATATGCAGCATCAGTTTGTGGAGAAGAAGTAGGTTTTTATCGTTATTTTGTTCTGTTTTGTTATTGTTTTTAGAATTTAATTGAAGTGCCGAAACACTTCATCGAATCACAACTTGGCAGGAAGTTTGTTGAATTATATAGTAGTAACTGTCTTATAAGTCATTTATAGATGGTTTTAATTGGTTAACATTGTTCGTGTTTTTATTGCAAAAGAACGATAAAGATAAGCTATATAAACGTGCTTTAATGCAAGACCATATTTTGAAAATATTAGATTTATGTGTTCTAAGGATGATCCTTTGTTTTAAGGTTTTCTTGGTGACTCTATTTATAAATTAACTTCTAATTTCACTTTGCAATTTATATAGAATAACATTAATATTCATTTTTCACGCTAAAGTGATTATTGTCATAACCTCAATTTGCATTCTTTAATCAGATTTGCTACTTTATTACATCAATGTCTTGCTTCAATAAAAAAAGGATCCAAAAAGGCATCTGCTAAAGAGATAGCTTTGGCATCTCACGCCATTGGTAAGAATTTGAGTAACTTAACCATGTATAATATTGACTTCATTTAATTGAATATTATGTCATTCATTTTTAAGGTTGTCTGGCCTTGACTGTTGGATGTGGTGACAATGCCCGTGAAATATTTGAAGAATCCATTCGTCCTTTGGATGAGTCTCTCACATCAAAGATAGATGCTTCAAAGACACCATCAGTAAGTAGGAGTTTGGAAATATTTCTAAGTCTTGTATTAAGATTTGTCCTTGTGATTCTTAATATCCATGATACTGATTGTTTTCTGCTTAATGATGTTTATAGTTGCTAGAATGTTTGGCTATAGTCACCTTTGTTGGAGGGAACGATCAAGAAGAAACAGAACGATCAATGGAAATAATGTGGCGAGTTATCAATCCTAAATTAGGTTCCAATGTAGGTATCTGTTTCAAACATACTAATTTGTTTCATTTACTAATCATCCCTTGTAATATTGACTCTCATGTTTCTTATAGTAGTTGTGTTAAATTAAGTAAAATGACTCTAACTTTTTCCCTCATGTTTAGGTTGTTTCTGTCAAACCTTCTGCTTCATTAATAGCCAATGTGGTGTCTGCGTGGTCTTTTCTCCTATCTACCATGAGCAATTTGAAGTTAAATTCAAAAAATTGGCAAAAGTAAGAAGACTGTCCTTTTGCATTCATTTTTATTTATTTTTGCACTACTTCTAGCTAGGTAACATGCCAATGTGTTCATTTCATGGATCTTGTTAGTGGTTTCTGATTTCAAATTCCTTTTTGCTGATAAATGCATATATGATGTGGAATCACTTTGACCCAGTGTGTTAAATCCCGGATAGAGGTTTGTAGAGGCTGGCCCAAAAATCATAATAAAGGGGATCGTGACTATTCTATTTTTTACGTAGTTTATATAATGTATACTATATATACAAATAAATTTTCCAAAATGATAAAATTGACTTGAAAACAATGACACTAATTCATAATTAACAATAAGGTACAGAAAGTGAGAAATCAGTCACTGAAGAAGAGAAAACAATTTCCTGAGGTGCTGAGTTGAAAGGCATTGTACTCAGAAATGAGGGTGTTGGGTAGTAAGAGAAAGTGAGAAACAACAGCTTTTTGATTGATTTTATTAGCAAAATATTGTTCAATAAATTGGAATTCCCCCAAACAATACCTAAATTTAGTGTTCAGAGGCCATTGTTAGCACCATTGTTGGTTGTCATTAAGAAAAAGAGCCCAAAGAGAAAAGAGAAAGCATCCATCCAGTTTTTGCTCGAGTGAAAGACAAAAATGGACTGGACAAAACGTGCAGAATACAATCAAGAACAATGGGGCTGTTACTTGAGTTTAAGTATTTTATAGCTACCCTGGGTTTAAACTTAGATAAAACTTATTTTGACATATGATTTGTCATATATGACAACTTAAAAAATTTGATATTTACATTTTCAGCCCTTCAGAAATTCGCTATCCTAATAGCAACAGTTCCTACTTTTTTTTTTTTTAATTCTAAATCTATTTTTTCATGAATTGTTTCTAGGTATTTCATTTGCTTACTTTCAGTAAGGAAGTTATGACGTGGGTAGAATTGGCGTCCTGGTAGGATACTATCATTATGATAGGTCTGTTTGGACAATTTTTCTAGAAGGCTTGGAGAAAGACAAATATAAGAAAAAAAGGAAATTGACTTACACAAATTATACAACAGAGCTTTTGTGTATTAATTTATCCATAAATTAATTTTAACTTATGTAGAAATCAATTTTTGTTCTTCATATCTCTTTTAGAAGTATCTTCATGGAGAAACTCATACATTAATTTAGATTTAAATAATATCTGTTTTATTTGTAATGACAAAATATATTCATAGAGAATTGCATTCTATTTAGCCATGCTTGGGATGCCACTCATTGTTTTGTTGTTCATGCAGTTCAATATCTTATTTATCTAGTCTTCTAGACAAGGAAGACAGATCTGTACGAATTGCTGCTGGTGAAGCACTTGCTCTGTTTTTTGAAATTGGAGTTGTAGATAAATTTTCTGCCCAGTCAGACAGTGCAAGTGATACAACGCAAGAAGGGTGTCAACCACTTGAAAGCTACATATTTTTACAAGGACTGAAAGGAAAGGTGTTAAATCAATGCAAAAATCTTTCCATGGAGGCGGGTGGAAAAGGTTCTGCGAAGAAAGATCTTAACAGTCAAAGGAACTTGTTCCGAGATATCTTGGATTTTTTTGAGGTATGCTAGTTACTACTATTGGTATTATTTGAGAATAAAGGATGTTTTGCTTATGAAGGTAAGGATTCTTTGGTGATCTTATCTTGTGATATTAGTATGGTTACTCCCCGGATATTTCAATGAAGATTGGCGGTGATTCCCTGCAGACATCGTCATGGTCTGAAATGATACAGGTTTTTCTTGTGTGCCTTTTTCCCATACTTGTTGAAATCTCTTCTTTTTAGCATTTTGACATTCAGATTTTTGCAGTTGAATTTTATCAAGCATTTTCTTGGAGGAGGATTCGTCAAGCATATGCAGGTAAACTTTCTCAACTTTTTCCTTTGGCATGATTCTGGTTATTGTATAATCTGGAGGTCATGTTTACCCCTTCTTTTTTAACTTCTACCTGGCAAACAGGAAAATGAGTTCCTACATGATGTTTTTGGGTTTTCGCCGAAGAAAAAGTATCTTAATAACAATGAACACAGAATGTCTGGTGGTGAAAAGGTAAGTTTGTCCACGATTGTTTTCGTATTAATGACTTCTTATCATGCGCTGATCTGCCCCATCCCTCGTACCTGCAGAGAATGTTTAAATCTCCAAATTCGGTTATGAACAAAGCTAGGACGCAATTACTTAATAAGCAGCGGATATTATCTGAGGTTGGCATTCTTAACGTATAAGAGAACGTTCGCTTTTATCGTCCCGTTGAAGTGCTTAAATTGATAATACGCTGCCTAGATATAAGTTGAAATCTAGACAATTATTATGATAATTTTTTTCTGCCAAAACCATTGTGTGGAGGAATGTGCGTGAATTGTACATTGTATGGATTCTTAGTTTTTCCTTTGATTTCTTTTCTTAAATTTACAGGGCAGAAACTTCGGTCACTACGCTGTTGGTATTGCTGACGAGGATGCATGAATTTGACTGGGAACAACAAGAATTATGTCTCACCAACTAGTCATTCGATCTTTGATTTGATGTATAACATTTCATAAGTCATTCAGCTCTACTTCTATCAATTACACAGTATATTCCTTGACCTGAGATTTGTGATATTGTAATATGAATGATAAATAGATATTAAGAACGGATTTCATTTGTTTCGAAATGTGTATTTTTAATTTTTTATGACTCAAGTTTAAAAGTTATATTCAAAAAGTTTATATACACATTTTTCCAAGAACCATTTAATTGTATATATCCATCTTGCTTTTTGTATTTACATTTATTCATTTTAATACAAAGAATCAAAACAAGAACATAAACACCAATATAAAAATAGAAAAAACATAATATAGAAATCCCATTATATAAATGAAAACTCTTAAAACACAAATAATAGATATAAACTTCTAAGTCTTTATGTAGTGATGATTTATAATTTTGAACATTAAGTGAAATCAAATATTAAACTTTTATATATTTTTATATATTACCACGTAACATTTGATTGGATCAGTCCAACACATTGACACCATTTCACCACTTAAGAATCTCTCATTTGAAAAATTAAATTTATTAAGAAGGCCCAAGTGTAGGGTTTTTAAATAAGGTTTTTAAATAAGATTTATTGAAAAAAAAAAATACAACATGAATAAGATATAAGTCTAATACATATAAAAAATTAATATCACTTTTAATTCAAAAATTAAATTCAAAAATTAAATTTTATATGTTGTTTAACGTTTTTATTTTTCTTAGAACTTAGATTTTTTTATTAGGACTTAGATTCAATTTACATGATCTAACACTGATAACATTATTTACGAGGACTTATCATTTTATTTTCTTCGAATAATTTATTTTTTTAATGAAAATGAATATATATACCTATTAATGCCTTAAATAATATATTATAAAATTTCTATCATTGAAAACTATTTAAAATAATTTCAAAGAAAGTTGCTTACTAAAAATATTTTAATATAGATTTTAGGCTTGTTAAATTGAATAAAAGATTTTCTTTTCTTCTCGTATTGTTAGATATTGTTTAGATATTATTTAATATTGTTAAGATATTGTTAGATATTAACCATAATATCAAACAATATCTTCTGTTTATTCTGTTACTTTCGCTACTCTTTTAGTTGTATCTCTCTACTATAAATAGACTACCCTATGTGTGATTTATACACAAGGGAGATTAATCCCAAACTCTATTTCTTCTATATTCAACATGGTATCTAGAGCTTAAGGTTATTTTGAATTTTTTTGGCCTTAGACCACTATTGAAGTCGCCACCACCGCCGCTATCGTTGTCGGTTATTTGGTAGTGTGAAAGTGCATGTCTAGGAAAGTTCGACAAGGAAAGACTTGGTATTTAAGCGTGTCCATTAGTGACCCACCTCTCTTTCCCGGGAACTTACCCAGTGTACTCGGTTCACGCCGCTGTCACTATCGCCTTCGCCCTTTATGAGTTCTTCCGCTCCTTTTAGTACTTCCAATTCACGTCGATCTAGCGTCCGATCCTTCCATCTACACTAACTATGTTAATGTGCACTTATCCATTGACAAGTTAACCGGCCCTAATTATGCCACATGGTCATCGGACATCAGATTATGGCTTAAGAGTCGAAGTATCTTGATCATCTTGCCCGAAAGCACCTACTCTCACTCCTGGTGAGGAAGACCGTTGGGACACTATTGATGCTCAATTATGCGTGGTTCTCAAGGGTACCCTTGATCCTTCGTTAAAACAAATTTTTCGTTCCTACGAAACATGTGCAAAAATCCGGGAACATGCCAAGTTATTATACACCAATGATACTCAACGTCTCTATGATGTCTCGTTCTAAATTTGTAGATGTTATTTCCTCTAAACATCAAGATTCTATGACCGATTATATGGGCAAAATTCATGCTCTTTTTCATGAGTTCAATGAGTTATTGCCTCCTTCCCCGACCACGCCACCGAGATAGGACAACGATCAAAGTTCTTCATGCTAGGGGCATTACACGGACTTGCCGATCAATATTCACATATTCGTGATCAGATTTTGGGTTCTCCGGTTGTCCCCACCTTGACATCGACCCGCTCCACTCTTTTGCGTATACCAGCAAAACTCAACCCCGACACACCTGCTTCGTTAATGATTCTTCCGCATTGGTATCTCACCGTGATGATCGAACTCGCCCTCGCAAACAGGGGAAAAGGACGTCCTAAGTGTGAACATTGTGGCAAGCTAGGTCACAAGATTGACCGAGTGTTATGCATTACATGAGTGTGAACATTGTGGCAAACTAGGTCACAAGATTGACAAGTGTTATGCATTACATGGTCGTCCTACTCGATCTACTGCGGTTGCTCGGATCGATTTTTTCCCACCTTTATCTCGCTAAGGATCCTCCTTCTTCTATTTCATCGGACACACCTGCTATGTTCAACAAATTTCTCAAATGGTATAAGGATCAACAGTCTTCTAGTTCTCATCGTGTCTGTCGCACACACAGGTACATCTTTTGCTTGGTTTGACCCAATCTTCTTCCGGTCCTTGGGTTTTTGATTCGAGAGCCACTTGATCATATTATCGGTAACAAATCTTTGTTCTCCTCTTTATCCTCTCCCGATCCTTTACCTTTTGTTACACTAGCCGATGGCTCTAGAGTATCATCTCATGGTGTTGGAACCGTTAAACTTTTCCCTTCTTTAACCATTGATAATGTTCTTTATGTCCCCGGGTCTCCTTTTAACCTCGTTATCCATCGGTCGTCTAACTCGTTCTCTTGATTGTGTTGTTTCTTTTACCAACAATTCCGTGTGTTTACAGGACCGAAGTTCGAAACGAGTGATTGGCACAGGATGTGAGTCTCATGGTCTTTATCATCTTCGTCCCTTTACACATGTTGGTGCGGTTATAGAGTCTCCCTCTCTTCTCCATGCTCAGTTAGGTCATCCAAGTCTTGCCAAGTTACAGTAACTTGTCCCCGCCTTATCTAAATTGTCTAGTTTGGCATGTGAGTCGTGTCAATTAGGCAAGCATAGTCGTACTTCCTTTCCTCGTAGTGTCACACGTGGTGCTTCGTCCCCTTTGCCGTGGTTCACTCGACATTTGGGGACCTAGCCGCGTTAAGTCTACTTTAGGTTTTCAATACTTTGTTACTTTCATTGATGATTATTCCAGATGTACTTGGTTATTTTTGATGAAAAATCGTTCGAATTATTTCATATCTTTCAAACCTTTTTCAATGAAATTCAAACTCGGTTCGGTGTTTCTATTAGAGTTTTGCGCAGATGATAATGGTCGTGAATATCTTTCTCATTCTTTTAAACAATTCATGGCTTCTCATGGTATTTTGCATCAAACTTCTTGTGCTTATACACCTCAACAAAATGGTGTAGCTGAACGTAAAAATAGACATCTTATTGAAACAACTCGCACTCTTTTAATTCATGGAGAGGTTCCTCAACATTTTTGGGGTGATGCTCTTCTTACTCGCATGTTATCTTGTTAATCGCATGCCATCTTCGGTTCTAGATAATAAAATACCTCATTCCATTTTATTCCCTCATGAACCACTTCATCCCTTACCTCTAAAAGTTTTCGAGTCTACATGTTTTGTTCATAATTTTAGTTCTAGTCTTGACAAGCTTTCTCCTAGATCACATAAATGTGTTTTCTTAGGGTTTACAAGATCACAAAAAGGATACAAATGTTTTTCTCCTTCTCTTAACCGTTATTTTGTGTCTGCAGATGTCACTTTTGATGAGTTCTCTTTTTATTTTAAAAGTCAATCTTCACCTCTCGTCTCCATCCAATATTGTCAACACTCCTAGTACATTTAATGTTCCTGTTGTTTGTGACCCTCTAATTGTGTCTTCTTCACCATTAGATTCTACTCCATGATCAACTTCTTCTTCACTACCTCTTCAGGTTTATAGTTGCCGAAACCAATCACAACCACCACCATGTGACTCTACTCAAGTGCCAACTACTCTGTCTCCTCCGGATGTGACACCTCGAGTCCGACCTTCCCATTGCCATCCGAAAAGGTATCCGTTCTACACGTAATCCCTCTCCTCATTATATTGGTTTGAGTTATCATCGATTGTCATTACCTTTTTATACATGTCTTTCCTCTCTTTCTTCTCGTGACCATTCCAAAAACTGTCCAGTGAAGCTTTAGCCCATCCTGGTTGGCGTCAGGCCATGTTAGATGAACTAAGTGCTCTTCATAATAGTGGAACTTGGGAATTGGTCTCGTTACAGTCTGGGAAATCTGTTGTTGGTTGCAGGTGGGTGTTTGCTATCAAAGTTGGACCTGATGGTACTATTGATCGCCTCAAAGCACGTCTTGTGGCCAAAGGTTATACTCAAATTTTTGGTTTGGATTATGGAGATACCTTTTCCCCTGTGGCAAAGATGACTTCTGTTCGTTTATTTATCGCCATGGCCGCTCTTCAACAATGGCCTCTTTATCAACTAGATGTTAAAAATGCTTTCCTCAATGGTAATTTGCAAGAAGAAATCTATATGGAGCAACCTCCTGGGTTTGTTGCTCAGGGGGAGTCTTCTGGGATGGTATGTCGTCTTCGCAAATCCCTATATGGCCTAAAACAGTCTCCTAGGGCCTGGTTTGAAAAGTTTAGCAAGGTTGTTCAACAATGTGGTATGACTCAGTGTGAAGCAGATCACTCTATCTTTTATCGACACTCAAGTGCTGGATGTGTTTACTTGATAGTATATGTTGATGACATCGTTCTTACAGGTAGTGACAACCATGGCATCTCTCGGTTGAAACAACATCTCTGTCACCATTTTCGGACCAAAGATCTTGGCAAACTTAGATATTTCTTGGGTATTGAGGTGGCACGGTCCAATGATGGTATTGTTATATCTCGGAGGAAGTATGCCATGGATATTTTAGAGGAAACTGGGTTGATGAATTCAAAGTCCGTTGATACGCCCATGGATCCCAAT